TCCTGCTCACTGACCAAATGACTGGATTGGCGTAAACTGACCACGTTTTGGCTGCCATAAAGTCCTTTTATGTGCCATCTTAATCTCTGTATTCAAGGATATAATATAGATGCCTTTGTCTGCCGCATTTTATAGCAATTCCAATGTACACAGATATAATAATGCTATTAAATACAAGGCCACATATCAGCAATGAGCCCTGGTGCACACTTGTGCGGGCCACGCAGCCTGCGTTTGCGCAGGAACAGCAGCCCATTAATTTGAATGGGCTATCGTGCCTGTGTTTTCCACAAAAGAAGGTGCATGTACCTTTTTAAAAATGTGGCCACAGAGAAATCGCATAGTATTTTTGACAATGCAATTTCCCTGCGATTCCCACACCTGTAAATGACCTGCGGGCTGAGATTTGTGGGGGTGCCATTCAAAATGAATGGCAGCCCCATGCGTCTCGAAAGAGCAGCACAATTTGGCTGTGGGTGGTTGCGGGTGTGGAAACAGATGCGATTGCCACACTCGCAAGCAGCACTCACAGTGTGAACAAGGGCTTAGGCTACATTTATGGTTCTGAGCGGTTAGATATGGCTGCCAGCCCCTTTCACTATGACAGGTTACTGGGAGCCGCAGGTATTTGCAGCTGTCCACACAGCCAGTGATTACCTGCAGTGATCGCTGCTGGACGCACACAAATTGCATCCACCACTGGTAAACACTTCAGAGAGCCACAAATAGCTGCTGCAACCAATAACCTGTCATTATAGTGAACAGGGCTGGTGGCCGCACCTAGCCACAGCAGGAATCAAAAGATTCCTGGTGCCTCCGCTGTGAATGTAGCCTAAAGATATACATCAGCCAGCAGAGAGTATCAGGCAAAAAAAATGACAGTGCTATGGACCAGCCCAGGATAGGGCACTAAACATCAAAGCTCACCACACACATTACAATCTTACTGTACAATCTCCTCTAAATCTACTAAAAACTTTGTAGTGCAAGGGCCTACCTAACTGGATACAAACTGAATGGTTAAATTAAGTACAGTATATGCTGCTCATATTACATAGAATTGGTAAATCTAAAGTAGAGTATACAAAGATTGTATGGTCAGATTGTAAATTGTATGATGCCCCTAATACACACAATCCCTTGGACCAGAAGTCTAGGTAGGAAGCAACAAGAAGTAACCCTTTCACCGCCGCCATGGCAGTGTGCGGGGGTTTACACACACTATAAATCTGACAGGTCAACTGTCGCCTGTTACATGGAAGCAATCCGGAGAATGTGCAAACACTTCCACACACCTCTGTAAGGGCCAGTTACTAGTCTCTCCTTCCTGCTAATGACCCAGAAGTGAAGTGTAAAGCGCTGCTTCCAGGTCCTCATGTCACTCTCCGCAGCCAGTACTGCCAGGGAAGAAGCTATTAAATCCCAATCTGCTCAGTGGAAGGCAGGCGAGACACTGGGGGTCTTTTACACTCATAAAAGAGAACCTGCTACCGAAAAAAAAAAAAATCACAACATTGTAAAAAAACCAAAGTGCTTAAACCTCCGCCGAGAAAAAAAAGGAAAAAGTCTGCATCTTTTTTCCTATTTTTTTTGGACCTAAACTTGGCAGATCGGAGGTAAAGGATGAAAAGTGACATTCGTACCGTTTGGCACTCATTCATCAGGGGATCTGTACATGGATCCCTTGTTAATCAGAACAGAAGCTGTTCATGTTAAAAAAGAAGTGCAGGAAAAATAAAAAGCTATACTCTCTAGTTGGCTGCAGCATCATTTTGATGCTGCAGCTGTGCAGCTGTCCCCCATCATGGCTGGCTCAGGCTCTCAGTGGTGCACTGAGAGGCTGAGCTAGCTGCCGTTCCAGGCATCTGGGTGGATCCCAACATTATTGTCGATATCCTTACAGAACCTGGAGAGGCTCTGTAATGTCAGCCAACAGCAGGCATTAGCCCACTGTTGGCTGAACCTGGGTCATAGGACTGCAGAACTAAGTGTACTCCTATTACCAACGGAAGAAGTATGGCCAGAAAAGATTGACCATACTTCTCCTTTAAAGCCTGCTGTACCATGTACTTGAAAAAGTATCCTGTTCTCTTTATATGAAATCCCAGTAGCTCTGCTTTCCTATTTCAAACTGACCATGCTAGGCATGGCAGCACAAAGTCTCTTTTTTTTATTGTGGGTGTTGCAAAAATGCTTTTAGTAAGAGAAAATAAAAGAGAATTCAAAGTGGTTTTACAAGAGAAATAACACAGGAAGCAAACATTTCTTCATGTAGGAGCCACTTCTCTTGAATTGTATTGTAATTATACCGTCTCCCTTTATTTTGTAAAGTGCTGCGCAAACTGTTGGCACCATATATTTCCTGTATAATAATGATGCTTTGCATTAAAAATGAATGAATAAAAGTGAACAAGCAAAAATGTGACCATTAAGGTGGCTGTTATCCACAATCCATTCCATTGCAATTTTAGTAGAAGTTAGCAAATGTATTTCTTGCTGTTGGTGCCCTCATAAGCAGTAAAATGAGACAGGGAGAAACCTCCATTTTAGATGCTGCCAGAGTAGTGCTGTAAATATGTTAGGGCCTACGTACACAGGCTTTTGCTACTTTTCCCTCCACACAAGTCAATGGGGATTGATATACAGCATGAATGAGGTAAACTGCTGGTAAGTCAAAAGAAAGTCAGTTATACTTCTAAAGCAGGGATCGCTAAACTTTCTAAGGGTCAGTTTATTGACTTTAGGGGGACTGGACTGTGGCCAGTGGAAGAAGAAAATACCCCAGTGGGAAAAGACAATGGCTTAGGCTTGGTGGTCAGTGGGAGTAAAACAATTAGATAACGTCTGCGGTCCATAGGAGGAGTTACAGGGCCTCATCCTTGCTATAAGTTGGAGGAACACTGCCCCCTGGTTGGTGTTCAATGGGAGGAATAGTGCCCCTAGTTGGTGTCAATGGGAGGAATAGTGCCCCTAGTTGGTGTTCAATGGGAGGAATAGTGCCCCTAGTTGGTGTTCAATGGGAGGAATAGTGCCCCTAGTTGGTGTTCAATGGGAGGAATAGTGCCCCTAGTTAGTGTCAATGGGAGGAATAGTGCCCCTAGTTGGTGTCAATGGGAGGAATAGTGCCCCTAGTTGGTGTTCAATGGGAGGAATAGTGCCCCTAGTTAGTGTCAATGGGAGGAATAGTGCCCCTAGTTGGTGTTCAATGGGAGGAATAGTGCCCCTAGTTGGTGTTCAATGGGAGGAATAGTGCCCCTAGTTGGTGTTCAATGGGAGGAATAGTGCACCTAGTTGGTGTTCAATGGGAGGAATAGTGTCCCTAGTTGGTGTCAATGGGAGGAATAGTGCCCCTAGTTGGTGTCAGTGGGAGGAACAATGCCCCATCATTGGTGACAGTGGGAGGAATGGTGTTCCATCATTTGTATCAGTGAGCAGAAATATGCCTCATTGTTGGTGTCAGTGGGAAGAATCATGCCTCATGCTTATAGTCAGTGGGAGGAACAGTGCCTGGTGTTAATGGGAGGAATAGAGTAGGATAAAGCCAAGCAAAAGGCCACATCAGGCCTGCACCCTGCAGTTTGGAGACCAATGCTCTAAAGCAGGGGTCCTCAAACTACGGCCAGCGGGCCACATGCAGCCCGCCGAGGCCATTTATCCAGCCCGCCGGCAGGGGCGTATTTTCTGTGCGGAAGGGACACTAAGTACAGGGGTGGGCAGGGGGCTGCTGTACCTTAGCTGGCTCCGGTCCCAGTACCACAACGATCCAGTCCAGGAAACGCTGCTCCTTTATTCACTCCGGCCACTCCCTCACTCCTGCTGCTCGACTCCGCCTCCTCGTCGGTGATTGGGCGCCAGAACTGTAGCTCAGGAAAGGCACACAGGCGGCCAATCACCTGCGAGGAGGCGGAGCCGAGCGGCAGGAGTGAGGGAGTGGCCGGAGTGAAGAAAGGACAGCTTACAGGTAAGTGTGTCGTGCTGATGGTGCTGCTGCAACCAGGCATGCTGGCTGCAGAAGCACCATGCTGGAGCAGGGGTCAGCAAGTTAAGTGTCATTGGTGTCAGTGGGAGAAATAGTGCCCCATCATTGGTGTCACGGATACTATGATGATGGGGCATTATTCCTCCCACTGACACCAAAGATGGGGCACTATTCTTCCCCCCCACTGACACCAACGATGGGGCACTATTCCCCCCCCCCCCCCCACTGATACCAATGATGGAACACTATTCCTTCCCCCACTGACACCAATGATGGGGTACTATTCCGCCCACTGACACCAATGTAGGGACACTATCCCCCCCCACTGACACCAATGACGGGGCACTATTCCCCCCCAATGACACCAATGATGTACTATTCCTCCCACTGACACCAAAGATGGGGCACTATTCTTCCCACTGACACAAATGATGGGACACTATTCCTCCCACTGACACCAATGATGGGACACTATTCCTCCCACTGACACCAATGTTGGGACACTATTCCTCCCACTGACACCAATGTTGGGACACTATCCCCTTCCCCCACTGACACCAATGACGGGGCACTATTCCTCCCCCCACTGACACCAACAATGGGGCACTATTCCTCCCCCCACTGACACTAATGATGGGGCACAATTCTTCCCACTGACACCAATGATGGGGCACAATTCTTCCCAGTGACACCAATGATGCGGCACAATTCTTCCCACTGACACCAATGATGGGGCACGTATCTAGCCACTGACACCAATGATGGGGCACTGTTCCTCCCACTGACACTAATGATGGGGCACTATTCCTCTCGCTGACACCAATGATGGGGCACTATTTTGCTCCATAAGACACACTTGGGGGGAAATGTCTGTGCGTCTTATGGAGCAGCCCGCCCAGTATTCCCGCCGCCGTTGTATGTCCGCAGTCTCTGGTCATCCCATGTACTATGTCCGCAGTCTCTGGTCATCTCCTGTACTGTGTCCGCAGTCTCTGGTCATCTCCTGTACTGTGTCCGCAGTCTCTGGCCATCTCCTGTACTGTGTCCGCAGTCTCTGGTCATCTCCTGTACTGTGTCCGCAGTCTCTGGTCATCTCCTGTACTGTGTCCGCAGTCTCTGGTCATCTCCTGTACTGTGTCCGCAGTCTCTGGCCATCTCCTGTACTGTGTCCGCAGTCTCTGGTCATCTCCTGTACTGTGTCCGCAGTCTCTGGTCATCTCCTGTACTGTGTCCGCAGTCTCTGGTCATCTCCTGTACTGTGTCCGCAGTTTCTGGTCATCTCCTGTACTGTGTCTGCAGTCTTTGGTCATCCCCTGTACTATGTCTGCAGTCTCTAGTCATCTCCTGTACTGTGTCCGCAGTCTCTGGTCATCTCCTGTACTATCACCGCAGTCTCTGGTCATCTCCTGTACTGTGTCCGCAGTCTCTGGTCATCTCTTGTATTGTGTCCGCAGCCTCTGGTCATCTCCTGTACTGTGTCTGCAGTCTCTGGTCATCTCCTGTACTATCACCGCAGTCTCTGGTCATCTCCTGTACTATCACCGCAGTCTCTGGTCATCTCCTGTACTATGTCTGCAGTCTCTGGTCATCTCCTGTACTATGTCCGCAGTCTCTGGCCATCTCCTGTACAGTGTCTGCAGTCTCTGGTCATCTCCTGTACTGTGTCCGCAGTCTCTGGTCATCTCCTGTACTATGTCTGCAGTCTCTGGTCATCTCCTGTACTGTCTGCAGTCTCTGGTCATCTCCTGTACAGTGTCTGCAGTCTCTGGTCATCTCCTGTACTGTGTCCGCAGTCTCTGGTCATCTCCTGTACTATGTCTGCAGTCTCTGGTCATCTCCTGTACTGTCCGCAGTCTCTGGTCATCTCCTGTACTGTGTCCGCAGTCTCTCTGGTCATCTCCTGTACTGTGTCCGCAGTCTCTGGTCATCTCCTGTACTGTCCGCAGTCTCTGGTCATCTCCTGTACTGTGTCCGCAGTCTCTGGTCATCTCCTGTACTGTCCGCAGTCTCTGGTCATCCCCTGTACTGTGTCCGCAGTCTCTGGTCATCTCCTGTGCTGTGTCTGCAGTCTCTGGTCATCTCCTGTACTGTCGCGCAGTCTCTGGTCATCTCCTGTACTGTGTCCGCAGTCTCTGGTCATCTCCTGTACTGTCCGCAGTCTCTGGTCATCCCCTGTACTGCGTCCGCAGTCTCTGGTCATCTCCTGTGCTGTGTCCGCAGTCTCTGGTCATCTCTCTTGTACTGTCCGCAGTCTCTGGTCATCTCCTGTACTTTCCGCAGTCTCTGGTCATCTCCTGTCCTGTGTCCGCAGTCTCTGGTCATCTCCAGTACTGTGTCCGCAGTCTCTGGTCATCTCCTGTACTGTGTCTGCATTTGTTCATAGTTTTTTTTTTTTTTTTAACTATAGTCCGGCCCTCCAACGGTCTGAGGGACAGTGAACTGGCCCGGTTTAAAAAGTTTGAGGACCCCTGCTCTAATGGAACTTAAGTGGTTCTACATGTAATGTAAAACGGTATTTTTGAGATCACAAGCAGCCCTCTTGCTTCTTTTTTGCAACCCTGAGAGGTTCAGGAATTTTACAGTCAGGTCCATAAATATTGGGACATCGACACAATTCTAACATTTTTGGCTCTATACACCACCACAATGGATTTGAAATGAAACGAACAAGATGTGCTTTAACTGCAGACTGTCAGCTTTAATTTGAGGGTATTTACATCCAAATCAGGTGAACGGTGTAGGAATTACAACAGTTTGCATATGTGCCTCCCACTTATTAAGGGACCAAAAGTAATGGGACAATTGGCTTCTCAGCTGTTCCATGGCCAGGTGTGTTATTCCCTCATTATCCCAATTACAATGGGCAGATAAAAGGTCCAGAGTTAATTTCAAGTGTGCTATTTGCATTTGGAATCTGTTGCTGTCAACTCTCAAGATGAGATCCAAAGAGCTGTCACTATCAGTGAAGCAAGCTATCATTAGGCTGAAAAAACAAAACAAACCCATCAGAGAGATAGCAAAAACATTAGGCGTGGCCAAAACAACTGTTTGGAACATTCTTAAAAAGAACGAACGCATCGGTGAGCTCAGCAAAACCAAAAGACCCGGAAGACCACGGAAAACAACTGTGGTGGATGACTGAAGAATTATTTCCCTGGTGAAGAAAAACACCCTTCACAACAGTTGGCCAGATCAAGAACACTCTCCAGGAGGTAGGTGTATGTGTGTCAAAGTCAACAATCAAGAGAACACTTCACCAGAGTGAATACAGAGGGTTCACCACAAGATGTAAACCATTGGGGAGCCTCAAAAACAGGAAGGCCAGATTAGAGTTTGCCAAACGACATCTAAAAAAGCCTTCACAGTTCTGGAACAACATCCTATGGACAGATGAGACCAAGATCAACTTGTACCAGAGTGATGGGAAGAGAAGAGTATGGAGAAGGAAAGGAACTGCTCATGATCCTAAGCATACCACCTCATCAGTGAAGCATGGTGGTGGTAGTGTCATGGCGTGGGCATGTATGGCTGCCAATGGAACTGGTTCTCTTGAATTTATTGATGATGTGACTGCTGACAAAAGCAGCAGGATGAATTCTGAAGTGTTTCGGGCAATATTATCTGCTCATATTCAGCCAAATGCTTCACAACTCATTGGACGCTGCTTCACAGTGCAGATGGACAATGACCCAAAGCATACTGCAAAAGCAACCAAAGAGTTTTTTAAGGGAAAGAAGTGGAATGTTATGCAATGGCTAAGTCAATCACCTGACCTGAATCCGATTGAGCATGCATTTCACTTGCTGAAGACAAAACTGAAGGGAAAATGCCCCAAGAACAAGCAGGAACTGAAGACAGTTGCAGGAGAGGCCTGGCAGAGCATCACCAGGGATGAAACCCAGCATCTGGTGATGTCTATGCGTTCCAGACTTCAGGCTGTAATTGACTGCAAAGGATTTGCAACCAAGTATTAAAAAGTGAAAGTTTGATTTATGATTAATATTCTGTCCCATTACTTTTGGTCCCTTAATAAATGGGAGGCACATATGCAAACTGTTGCAATTCCTACACCGTTCACCTGATTTTTATGTAAATACACTCAAATTAAAGCTGACAGTCTGCAGTTAAAGCGCATCTTGTTCATTTCATTTCAAATCCATTGTGGTGGTGTATAGAGCCAAAAATGTTAGAATTGTGTCGATGTCCCAATATTTATGGACCTGACTGTAACTGAAAGAGTACCCAGCTGCTCTTCATTTGACAAAAGCTACATTTCTCTATGTAATTTTTCTGTTAAAGGCTTCAAAAAATGGTTTATTGCCCTTCTCTGGTACATGTTGTAAGTTATAATTGCTGCTTTGATTTCAGTAGTTAAAATGCTATAATTTTTGTATTAAATTAAGTAAATGAGGATCTAAAGAAATATAATGTGCCCCCTTGAACATTTATTCCACCCACCATTTCCTTTCAGTCTGACATACTTGCTCAACATTGTATTGTGCCTGATCATCCACATGCTGCATGTACAGTAACAACAGTCTAGGTCAAGGCTTGACAAATTTGATTTGAATATAAGAGCCAGCTAAAAAATGTAGGAGCCAGGTTTTTTCAGCGTAGCATGGGTTGTCAGCACCCGGGGCAAGGCAACTTTTGAGCGACAAGCTTCATGCAAAACCACACAATGTTTTAGGTGCCATTGAAAATAATGGCACCTACACCTGTGTTTTGCTATTGCAGTGATACTGCCGTGATTTTAAAACACAGTTGTGAATTGAGCTGCCCTGGTTCACACATATGCAATTCTGGATGTGTTTTTCAAACTCACAGATTCGCATGAAAGGCTAGATATTATGTGTTCCTACTGAGGTAGTTCACACTGATGTGATCCCCATAAATTGCGTTTTGAGTGCCATTATGAAAAGGGTCCTCTGCAAGTTTGTAGAGAAGCATTCCAGGCTCACAAGTGATAGAATAGAGCGGCATGTGAATAAGTGTTCGCATTGGATTGCTATTGACAAGAGTTTTTTGTTGAAGTCAATTTGGTGGAGTTTTTGCATTGAAGTCAACGGGAGGTGGCCATGGAGAGAGAGAGAAAATCACACCTGTACTTCGTACAGAAATCGGAATGACATCAGGCATCAGCATGTAATTTCTAGTCACCATGGCGACCTGGCTCCTGGGATTTGTTGAGCCCTGGTCTACATACTCAGTGTGTGTTCCATGTCAAACAAAAAGGCTTAGGCCTCATTTATGCCTGCATTTGGGGCCAAATACTATTTCCTGCAGTAGATTTTGGGGTAGTTACATGCAAACAGCTGTGAGCGGTAAGCCTCATACAAAGCATTGAGAGGCTGGCAGCACCCACAGCTGTTAGCAGGTATTCGAACATGTAGTGATTACCTGTGGCTCATCAGACCTGGACAGAAACGGTCTGTGTCCAGGGTTAATCATCCGCAGGCTGTTCACTTGTCCAACTGCATGTAAACAGCCATGAATGACTGCGGGTGCTGCCAGCCTCTCATTGCTTTGTATGATGCTTTTCCGCTTGCAGCAGTTAACAGGACACCCCAATGAATCACCCATCAGAATCTGTAGTTAGCCCCAAATACAGAATGAGACCTTAACCATTGGCACAATGAGGTGGGAAGAAATATATGGACATACAGTTGTGGCCAAAAATTATTCAACCCCCAATGCTGTAAAGGGGTTTTAGGGACTATAGTGTACATTTGGAATTGTATTCAGAATCAAATCCTACAAGGACGTTGTAACTACCCAAATGCAACTAAAATGACATCAATTGTTTATGTAATACAGTAGTAAATGGTTCTTATGTGGTTTCTTCATTGCCACAATTATTCAACCCCTTAAAGACTACCACTCTGAAGAACAGAGGTTCATACAGGTGCTTTCCATCAGGTATTGAAAACACCTGTGGATGTCACCGAGCAGCAATCAAGCATAATAAGCACCAATTAGGCAGCTTTAAAATGACTGTGATACTCAGCTCCTTCTAGACATTTACTGGTGTGGTTACAAACATGGTGAAGGCAAGAGAATGGTCCAGGAAGACAAGAGAAGAGGTGATTTCTCTTCACAGGAAGGGCAATGGCTATAAGAAGATTGCAAAGATGTTAAACATACCAAGAGACACTTAGGAAGCATCATTCGCAAATTCAAGGCAAAGGGCACTGTTGAAACGCTACCTGGTCGTGGCAGAAAGAAGATGCTGACTTCGACTGCTGTGCGCTACCTGAAGCGTAGAGTGGAGAGAAGTCCCCGTGTGACTGCTGAGGAACTGAGAAAAGATTTGTCAGATGTGGGTACAGAAGTTTCAGCCCAGACAATAAGACGCACACTGCGTAATGAAGGCCTCCGTGCCAGAACTCCCAGGCGTACCCCCTTGCTGTCTCCAAAGAATAAGAAGAGTCGACTGCAGTATGCCAAAAGCCATGTGGACAAACCACAAAAGTTGTGGGATAGTGTTCTGTGGACTGATGAAACAAAATTAGAACTGTTTGGGCCATGGATCAACGCTATGTTTGGAGGAGGAAGAACAAGGCCTATGATGAAAAGAACACCTTGCCTACTGTGAAGCATGGTGGAGGGTCAATCATGCTTTGGGGCTGTTTTGCTTCTGCAGGTACAGGGAAGCTTCAGCGTGTGCAAGGTGTGCAAGGTACCATGAATTCTCTTCAGTACCAGGAGATATTGGATGGAAACGTGATGCAGTCCGTCACACACCTGAGGCTTGGGAGACGTTGGACCTTTCAACAGGACAATGATCCCAAGCATACCTCCAAGTCCACTAGAGCATGGTTGCAGAGGAAAGGCTGGAACATTTTGGAGTGGCCATCGCAGTCACCAGACTTAAATCCGATTGAGAACCTCTGGTGGGACTTAAAGAAAGCAGTTGCAGTGCGCAAGCCTAAGAATGTGACTGAACTGGAGGCCTTTGCCCATGAAGAATGGGCGAAGATACCCGTAGATCGCTGCAAGACACTTGTGTCAAGCTATGCTTCACGTTTAAAAGCTGTTATAACTGTAAAAGGATGCTGTACTAAGTACTAAGATTGAATGTCACTTGGGGGTTGAATAAAACTGATAATGCTGTGAGCACAGAAAAGACATTTGTGGTTATTTCATTATAACTGTTATGTTATATTTGTCTGACCTACAAGTGCCTCTTTAATGTAAATGTAAGCAAGATGACTGAATGATCAAAAGCAATGTCAAACTGGCCAAAACACTCAATTTCAGTGGGGGTTGAATAATTTTGGCCACAACTGTAATCTTGGAAAATTTCCATGGGTGTGACTCATCAAGGTACAACTCCTTGGACACCACTCCAGTACTGCTGAATTTTTAACCATAGTTATAGTACAAAACTTAACTTTGTTGCCTTTTA